TGTCACCCAGGCTGGAGTGCAGTGGTACGATCTCAGCTCACTGTAAACTCTGCCGTCTGGGTTCAAGTGATTCTCCTGTCTCACCCTCTTGAGTAGCTGGGATTATAGGCGCCCACTACCATGCTTGGCTACTTTTTGTATTTTTAGTAGAGATGGGGTTTCAGCATCTTGGTCAGGCTGGTCTTGAACTTCTGACCTCATGATCTACCTGCCTCGGCCTCCCAAAGTGCTGGGATTACAGGCATGAGCCACCTCACCTGGCCTCAGTTGATTTTTATAGGTAAATGTTTACGTTGGAATTACTCAGAGACTTAAAAATCAATGTTGCCAAGTATTTTTGTGTTAAGCAATTCCTTTTTTTTTTTTTTTTTTTTTTTTCCATAGTGGGGCATTTACGAGAAAGAATATTTGGTCTCTTATGTGGGAATTTTTTTTTTAAGTTTCTTTTTAATATAGAGAAGTAATATAGTATTTTACTCTTTACAAGTAAATTTTAGAATTTTAGCAAGATTGATGAATGGTTTACTCTTCTAGAAACCATATTGGGTTGTTTATTATACTGATGGACAGACTGCCATAACAAAATACTATAGGCTGGGTGGTTTAAACAACAGAAATTTATTTTCTCACAGTTCTGGAGGCTAGAAGTCCAAGATCAGAGTTCTGGAAAATTTGGTTTCTGGTGAGGCCTCTCCTCCTGGATTGCAGAGGGCCACATCTTGCTGTGTCCCCATCTCCAAATAAAGTCACATTGGGGCTTAAGGCTTTAATATATAAATTTTGTGTGGGACACAATTCAGTTCATACACATTGTCTCTACTTTGTTGTCTCAAAACAGGAATTCCTAGTATTATTCTAAAAGGGTATATATTTTATTTTAGGTAGACCCACAACTTGTGGATGGACACCTTTCATATTTTCTTGGAGCTATAGGTATGCCTGGTTTGACCTCCTTGATTGGAATACAGGAGAAAGGTCATATAACTGCTGGATCTAATCAGACAATGGTTGTCAGTGGGGCTGCAGGTGCCTGTGGATCCTTGGCTGGGCAGGTAAAGTTTCTGAAAATTATTTGATTTTCTGATTATTTGAGGATATAATAAATATAATAATAATTCATAATTGAAATTCCAGATATATGTATATCATTTAAAATATAAAATTGGATAATTTTTTTTTCATGCGTCAGCCTCAAGAGTAGCTGGGACTACAGGTGTGCACTGCTACACCTGGCTAATTTTTGTATTTTTACTAGAGATGGGGTTTTGCCATGTTGGCCAGGCTGGTCTCAAACTCCTGGCCTCAAGAGAACACCTGCCTCGGCCTCCCAAAATGCTGGGATTATAGGCATGAGCTACCATGCCCGGCCAAAATTGAATAAATTTATAATGACTTTCACACATTTCTTGTATAAGTGGTGTTTCACCCACATAGACTCTCTTAGTAACAGTATGAAAAATGTAGATTTGAGGCTGGGCGCGGTGGCTCAAGCCTGTAATCCCAGCACTTTGGGAGGCTGAGGCAGGTGTATCACAAGGTCAAGAGATCGAGACCATCCTGGTCAACATGGTGAAACCCGGTCTCTACTAAAAATACAAAACATTAGCTGGGCATGGTGGCGCGTGCCTGTAATCCCAGCTACTCAGGAGGTTGAGGCAGGAGAATTGCCCGAACCTGGGAGGCGGAGGTTGCGGTGAGCCGAGATCGCACCATTGCACTCCAGCCTAGGTAACAAGAGTGAAACTCCGTCTCAAAGAAAAAAGAAAAATGTAGATTTGAGTGTCTTATCCTATGTTAACCAAAAATAGATGTAGTAAATGCTAAAGCTTTGCTTTCATTATTATAAGGAAGAGAATGATAGAGAAGCTGTTTGGAATTCCATGAATTAAAAGTCAAACTCACATTTTAAATTAATATCCTCAAATAAGAAAGCACTTATTGAATTCTAGAAATATAAACATTCTGATAGAATTTTATGAGGTGGGCCTGGCACAGTGGCTCATGCCTGCAATCCCAGTGCTTTGGGATGCCAGGGTGACAGGATTACTTGAGGAGGGAGCTCAAGACCAGCCTAGGCAACATAGTAAGACTCTATAGTAAATAAATTAGCCCAGCACGGTGGCATGCCTGTTATTTTAGCTACTTGAGAGGCTGAGGCAGGAAGAGTACTTGAGCCCAAGAATTAGAAGTTACAGTGAACCATAAGATTGCACCACCATACTCCAGCCTGGGTGACAGAGTGAGACCCTGTCTCTTTAAAAGAAAAAAAATAATATAAAACTGCATCCTTTTATAAGTAATAGCCTTTATAATGTGAAACCATTAAAAAC